TTTTTTTGTGGGGGGGGGGGGTCACACCCTGTGATGCTCAGGGTTCTTCCTGGCTCTGCACTCAGGAATTAACCTTGGCAGTTCTGGGTGGGTGAACCATATGGGATGCCGGGGATCGAACCCGGGTGGGCCGCGTGCAAGGCAAATGCCCTACCCACTGTATTGTCAGTCCGCGCCCCTCGGGATGACTCTTGGCAGGGCTCGGGGGACCATCTGGGGTGACAGGGATCAAACCTTGGTTGGCTGCATGCAGGGTGAGCACCTTACCTGTTTAACCATCTCTTTGGCCCCCTGGAGGTGTGTGTGGTTTTAAGGGAGGGGAGGTAGTGGAATTTTGGTGGTAGTGCTGGTGAGTTTCAGCACACACACACACACACACACACACACACACACACACACACACACACACCTTGAACTGTGAAACTGTACTCCTGAAATTGTGTAGAGCTGGGAACCGACAGCAAATTAAGCCAGTGTGATTTCAGAAAAATTAGAACTGGGCTTTGTCAGTGAGCTGGGGTGGAAGCAGGTCCTTTGGGTCAGACTCACGAGAGGGAGTGATGAAATGGGGCCCAGGGTGTTCATTTCCAACGGGAACGCTGATCACCTGGCCTGCGCGTCGCTCTCCTGTCCCTGCCTCGGTCCCGGAAATCTGATCCAACGCTCGGGGAAGGAGATGATGAGAGAAACCTTTTAGACAGTCCCCAGGGCCCTTCCCCCTGGGCCACAAGGAAGCCTGATCTAGTTTCTTATCATCTTGTCTGTCATCTTGTCTTCGAAGAAAGTAAAATCCCGGGCTGGAGCGGGGAGGGCGTTTGCCTGGCACACGGCTGACCCAAGTTTGATTCCCGGCATCCCATAGGGCCCCCCAAGCACTGCCAGGAGTAATTCCTGAGTACAGAGCCAGGAGTAGCTCCTGTGCATTGCCAGGTATGACCCAAAAAGAAAAAAAAAAAGTCCCCCAGGAAGTAGAATATCCCCTCCCCCCCGGCCCACTGCGCCAGCTGAACATGTGTGCAGTTCCAGCTCTCTAGACTCCCCTTGTCCAGACAACAGCTGGGCGCACCTTTTCTACACAAAAGCTTTGCTCGGTCATGCAATCAAGCCGACTGGCTGTTGGTGGGGTTTCTGCTCCGTGAGTCGTCAGACAGCTCTGCAGTTGGCGTAGACTGACTGTGGTCCCATAGGTGACTGTTACTCCTCCTTCTCGTCTCTGTGTTTGCGTGTCTTCAGGCAGGATGCTCCTTCCCTACAACACCGAGCTTCTGGGCTGCGAGAGAACCTGTTGGCAGATTCTGTGGCGGGGACCTCAGAGCTGATAGCGCTGTTGGCCCTCTGAGGTCCATCTCTCTCTCTCTCTCTCTCTCTCTCTCTCTCTCTGTGTGTGTGTTCAATCTCAAAAGAGTCTCCCAAATTCCAATGATGGGACTGAGACACTGGCTCAGAGACCTGGGAAGATGCTCTGCATCCTGGAGACCCGAGCTTGAGCCTCGGCATCTCGTGGTCCCCTCTGGGAGCGACCCCCCTCAGCCTACAGCCAGGAGGAGCCTCAAAGCACTGCGGGGTGATGCAAACGCTAAATAAACAACCGACCATTCCGTCCCCACCTGATGTCTTCTCGGTTCACGGTGATAAGAGGTCCTCGGTGTTTTCCTCTTTGTACAGGTCAGGGGAAGGAAATCATTCTTCTTTTTTTTCTTTCTTTGGCTTTTTGGGTCACACCCGGTGATGCTCAGGGGTTACTCCTCTTTTTGCACTCAGGAATTACTCCTGGCGGTGCTCGGGGGACCCTATGGGATGCTGGGAATCGAACCCGGGTTGGCCGCATGCAAGGCAAACACCCTACCCGCTGTGCTATTGCTCCAGCCCCTTTTGAAATTATTTATTTATTTATTTATTTATTTTTTGCTTTTTGGGTCACACCCGGCGTTGCACAGGGGTTACTCCTGGCTTATGCACTCAGGAATTCCTCCTGGTAGTGCTTGGGGGACCATATGGGATGCTGGGAATCGAACCCGGGTCGCCGCATGCAAGGCAAACGCCCTCCCCGCTGTGCTATCACTCCAGCCCCCCCTTTTGAAAAAATTTTAAATTTTATTTATTTTTTGCTTTTTGGGTCATACCCGGATATGCTCCGGGGTCCCTCCTGGCTCATACACTCAGGAATGACTCCTGGCGGTGCTCGGGGGACCCTCTGGGATGCTTGGGAATCGAACCCGGGTCGGCCGCGTGCAAGGCAAACGCCCTCCCCGCTGTGCTATTGCTCCAGCTCCCATTCTGTTTCTTTTATTCTGTCTGGGTAAATTTGCATCCTTTCTTCACCCAATGCAGCAAGAATATACTTCCTTACAGGTAGAGTCACCCTTGGGCGTGAGCCTTCCTCCTCACGGAACATGTAGACCCGCCTGTATACGTACAGATTCGTTTCATTCCCCCTTTCCTTTGTGAAGACGGGATCAACCCTAGTATATGGGTAAGGGCCAACATCAAACCTTGATGCCAGCAAGCCAGTGACACTTTTAAAAATAGTGTTTGTTTGGGGCTGGAGTGGATAGTACAACAGGTAGGGCGTTTGCCTTGCCCGCGGCCGACCCAGGTTCGATTCCCAGCATCCGATATGGTTCCCTCAGTACTGCCAGGAGTAATGCATGAGCCAGGAGTAACCCCTGTGCATCACCGGGTATGACCCCAAAAGCAAAAACACGGTCACGGTCACGGTCCTCCAGTTGTTCATCGATTTGCTCGAGCGGGCCCAGTAACGTCTCCATTGGAGACTTTGTTGCTACTGTGTTTGGCATATCGAGTACGTCACGGGGAGCTTGCCAGGCTCTGCCGTGCGGGCGAGATACTCTCGGTAGCTTGCCGGGCTCTCCAATAGGGCGGAGGAATCGAACTCGGGTCGGCCGTGTTGGCTGTGTGCAAGGCAAACGCCCTACCGCTGTGCTAAAGCAAAAACAGAAAAACAGAAAATAGTGTTTGTTTTCTGGGTTGTACCCTGTGATGCTAAGGCATCCCTCCATCCGAGAGGTGCCCCAGAGCCAGTGCATCTGTGTGCCAAGCACCCCCAAAACCCAACCTCCTCAGCCTGTTGCCAAACTCTTTGTCTTGCTTTCCAGAGTTACTGCTTTATTTGGAAAGTTCCAGCTGCCTTCACTTTTATCTTCTTGCCCTTTTCCCTAATGTTGTTTTCTTTCGAATTTATATTTTGTTTATGTGCGGGGAGTGGGGGGGAGCCAAACCCAGTGATGCTCAGGGATCACTCCTGGTGGTGCTCCGGGAATCATCTGGCATGCCCAGGTTGGCTGCATGTAAGGAAACCGCCTCATCTTCTGAGCTACCTCCCCAGCCCATCTTTCTTAAATATGTAGGTAAAAGGTAAAGGCCCTCCCGTTGATCGTCGATTTGCTCGAGCGGGCCCAGTAACGTCTCCATTGGAGACTTTGTTGTTACTGTGTCTGGCATATCGAATACTCTCGGTAGCTTGCCGGGCTCTCCGAGAGGGGCGGAGGAATCGAACTCGGGTCGGCCATGTTGGCCGCTTGTAAGGCGAACGCCCTACCCGCTGTGCTATCGCTCCAGTAAAGAGAGCAAAAAAAGCAACCTTCATTGCCCTTTTGTGAATTAAAGGTGAAAATAACTTGAGATTTTCAGCAGTGGGTTTGTTTTTGTTTTGGCCAGAGCCTTCCATGCTCAGGGATTACTCCTGGCTCTGTACTTAGGAACCACTCCTGGCAGTTTTGGAAGAACCAGAGGAGGTGCTGGGGATTGAACTGAGTTTACCACCTGCAAGGCAGACCCTACACTAGCCTGTTGCTCCAGTCCCCCGGAAGTGTTGTGTTTTTTCAACCTCTTGACCCCAGTGGAACTGTGAACATTGGTGAATCATTTCAAAGACTACAAAAGGCAAAACACAAAAACCTGATTTATAATACGTACACGTATGTGCCAGTGTTGTTGACGATTTCACCAGTATATGATGCAGGTACAGGTTAAGCTGTGTTAAATGTTTAGCAGGTCCGCAGTAAATAATTGTGGAAGAGCACTGGACTATAGAACCTCACTGACTTAGAGGAAAATATAGCGTGTGTGGTTGTTTCCATTGTAATTTGCAAAAGATAATTTAGAAAACTAGAAAAAGAATCTCTCATATTGTACTCTGCGTGTTCCTGTCCCTATCCCCCCATTTTTTTTTCTTTTTGGGTCACACCTGGCGATGCTCAGGTGTTACTTCTGGCTCATACACTCAAGAATTACTCCTGGCGGTGATCAGGGGACCCTATGGGATGCTGGGAATCGAACCCGGGTTGGCTGTGTGCAAGGCCAATGCCATACCTGCTGTGCTATTGCTTCAGCCAGCCCCTCTACCCACCTTTTAATTTTTTTAAATTTTTTAATTTATTTATTTTTTGCTTTTTGGGCCACACCCGGTGATGCACAGGGGTTACTCCTGCCTCTGCACTCAGGAGTCACTCCTGGCGGTGCTCAGGGGACCATATGGGATGCTGGGAATCGAACCCGGGTCGGCCGCGTGCAAGGCAAACGCCCTACCCGCTGTGCTATCTCTCCAGCCCCCCCTACCCACCTTTTACATATGGTGGTGGTGGTTCATATTTGAGCCATCTATTTGGTGGTTCTGGGCATTGAACCTCATACTCACTGCTGAGACACATCCCTGGCCAGCGTGTTTACACTTTAAATTTGTGGTCCTGATCTGACAATAATGATTATCACTGTATGTCTTTTCTGTCAGCTTAGATCTTGTTCCTAGTTGGTCTCGAAATGTGCCAGACATTCCAAACAGATCTTCATAGCTAGTCGATCAAGGTTTGTTTGGTGAAGCGAGTGAATCTTTGTGCCCCTTCAGGTCCTCACCTTTCCTGTGACTGAAGGGAGCAAAACTCACTTAGAAGGAGTTTTTCTGTGACCGCCGAGGAGCTCGTGGTGTGAAGCTGCAGCTCTCCACGGAGCGCCCCTCAGTGTCTCCTCCCTTTTCCTTGCAGAGAGCGCTGCTGGAGAAAAGGCAGAGAAAGAAGCGCCTCGACCCACTCATGGTTCAGCCCAACCCTGACGCCGGGTTTCGTCGGCCAAAGCTAAGGCGTGGGGAGGAGCAGACCCCTTTGGTGGAGTCGGGGCCGCACAGGGAGGCCATCCTGCCTGGTGGGTATCTGCACTGAGGCTGTGCCCAAGGGGGGTGGAGCTGTCACACACCAAGAGAAGGCAGGAAGCCTGTGGAGGGACACAGTTAGCAGCATTCATCAGAGTCCTGGAAACTGCATTTGAGTTAGAAGGAAAGTAGTGACCTATTTAGTGGAAGACCTAGTATTATTATTATTATTATTATTATTAAGGGGCTGGAGTGATAACACAGTGGTAGGGCATTTGCCTTGCGTGCAGCCAGCCCGGCCGAGCCAGGTTCGATTCCTCCGCCCCTCTTGGAGAGCCTGACAAGCTACCAAGAGTATCACGCCTGCACGGCAAAGCCTGGCAAGCTACCGGTGATGTGTTCGGTATGCCAAACACGGTAACAAGAAGTCTCATGATGGGGACGTTACTGGGCCCGCTTGAGCAAATTGATGAACTACAGGAGGACAGTGACAGTGATTATTGTTAAGAATAGTAAGGGTATTTTGGTGGGGGGAGGGGCGGGATTCATTCCTCCTCCTGTTTTGGAGCTAGACCTGGTGTTTCTTGGGGATCATATGGTACTGGGGACCCCCACATAGAAAGCACCTCCAGTTCTGTGAGCCAGTTTCTTGGTCTCAATAGAAAGTCACTGGGTTTGCTCTCCACCCTAGAATAGGTTTTGGTTTTTTCTGTTGTTTTTGTTTGTTTGTTTGTTTTTGCTTTTTGGGTCACACCCAGTGATGCTCAGGGGTTCCTCCTGGCTCTGCACTCAGGAACTACTCCTGGCGGTGCTCGGGGGACCCTATGGGGTGCTGGGAATCAAACCTGGGTCGACTGCGTGCAAGACAAACACTCTCCCCGCTGTGCTATTGCTCCTGCCCTTTTTCTGTTGGTTTTGGACCACATCTGGTCGTGCCCGGGTCCTACTTCTGGCTAGGTAGCAGCTCCCAGAGATGCCCAATGGAGCTGGGCTGGAACCCAGGGCTTCTTTCTGATGAAAATGGCTCGAAGAACTGTGCTCCAGTTCTTCGAGCCATCTTCCAGGCCTAGACAACTTATTATTTTAGATGCCATAAAAGCGAGTTCAGGGCTGGAGCAGTAGCACAACTGGTAGGGCGTTTGCCTTGATTCAGAGGGTTTTTGGTTTTTGTTTGTTTGGGGGTCACACCAGGCAGCGTTCAGGACTTAACCCAGGCTGTGCTCCCCAGGATCAGTCCTGGTGGGCTCGAGGGACCAAATGGGATGCCTGGGATTGAACCTGGCTAGGCTACATACAAGGCAAGAGCCTTCCTCCCTGTACTGCCATCCCAGCCCCTCATCTTTCAGAGCTAACCGGGAAGTAGGAGTGAGTAAGGGCACCCATGCTTCTGGTAGCTGCGACTCAAAGGCGCACTCAGGGCAGGCAGGTCTCAGCTTGAGCCCCTTGAACTTGACCGGCCTGGGTAGCATCAAAGCTCTGGAGCACAGACTTAGATTTTTATTTTTCTATTTTTATTTATTTTATTTATTTATTTCTACGTTTTGGGTCACACCCGGCAATGCTCAGGGGTGGTTACTTCTGGCTTCGCACTCAGGAATCACTCCTGGAGGTGCTCGGGGGACCCTATGGGATGCTGGGAATCGAACCCGGGTCAGCTGTGTGCAAGGCAAACGCCCTACCCGCTGTGCTATTGTTCCAGCCCCTAGGTTTTTATTTTTATTTATTTATTTATTTTTTTGGTTTGTTTAGTTTGGGGGCCACACTCTGTGGTACTCAGGGCTTCCTTCTGGCGCTGCAGCAGTGAGTTACTCCTGGCCCCGCGCCATACCTGCTGTACTTCAGCCCTGACTTTGTTTTCTGATGTTAAGTTTCTAAATGACGACCTCAAGTATCGTTTGCATCCGGGAAACGTAAACCAAGGAGCACCAGTTCAGCGTTACCTGTTCATGCAAAGATGAGGAGTGCAGTGGTTTGGTGGTTCTGCATTCTCGTACGCACCCAAACCACTCAGTGAGAAAAGCCTCATTTCTTTCTCTCATTGTCTCTCCTTCGGGTCCCAGGCATCGATGGCCCGGCCGCCTTCATGAAACCCGATGTTCAGGATTTGGAAATGGAACTTCCGGTCCTCGCTGTTGACTCTCCTGCGGCTGAAGTGGACACTGAGGGACACGCGGGTCAGACAAACACTGTGGACGCTGTCCCCAAGCAGGACCTGCAGGAGGTCCTTCAAAAACACGGTGAGGATCAGTGCAGACCACGTGACGGACTCAGTGACTGTCAGGTCGTCGGTGCTGACTTCGGCATCTTGTGCTTTGACCTTTTTTTCGCGGGGAGGGAAGGTTGGGCTGGGGGTTCACTCATGTGGGAAAGGTACAAGTCAAGTTTCTTGCACCCCCTATCCTATTGCTCCAGCCTCTTACTTTCATTGTTGGAGAACATTCTAGCTGGCGATAAGGCAGCTAAGGGCTTAACAGGTTGCAGTGTTAGGCACCGTGACCTCTGGATGGTGGTTCGGTCATTTTCAGCAATATTAGCAATTACCCTAATTCCTACTCAAAAATAAGACAGAGTGGGGCCGGAGCGATAGCACAGCAGGTAGGGCCTTTGCCTTGCACGCAGCCGACCTGGGTTCGATCCCCGGCATCCTATATGGTCCCCCAAGCACTGCCAGGAGTAATTCCTGAGTGCAGAGCCAGGAGGAACCCCTGAGCATTGCTTGGTGTGACCCAAAAAGCAAAAAAAAAAAAAAAAAAAGACAGAGTAGAAAGAGCCAGCAGCATTAATTATAATTAATTATAATTTATATAATACCTTCTTTTGTCTGTGTGTGTGGCCAAACCCAGTGGTGTGGGGTTTTCTCTTTGGGGGTGGCAGGTGTTTCATCCAGCAGTGCTCAGAGGCTACTCCTGACCCAGTGCTTGGGAGTCACTCCGGATGGTGCTCTGGGGTCACTGTGGTGCCAGCCAGGGACTGAACCTGGGTCTCCCACATGCCCTGGAGCTATTTCTCTGGCCTCTTAGGTGGGATTTCTAGCTGAGAAAGCGTAGCGCAGTTGGGCCTGGGAAAAGCTGCCCTGCACCATAACAAGTGAATTGGAGAGAGGAGCAGGTCTGGAGGCAGAATTAACCCACCAGGAGATGCATTGGCTGGTGGGGTGAGTTACGCTGTGATGCTGAAATAGAATTACACTGCCGGGCTGTGTGGAAAGGGTAAGAAGTGTGTCGGAGGGAGGCGCTGACTCGGCTGAGCCTGGGAGAATGCATGGACTTAGCAGCGGAGGAAGCAGCTGGAGACTGACACTGGACTGGCAAAACCTTGACTGACACCAGGGGAATTTTATTTCAAAACACTAAAGGGTTTATTGACCGCTTAGGGTCTCCAGGTTGCAGACCAGAGAACTAGCTGTCCAAGAGGCGAACTCATCTAGATGTTCCTGCTCCTTAGCTGGCGAGCCTGGGCGAAAGAATCTAGCGCAGGGCCTGGAGCAATAGCACAGCGGGGAGGGCGTTTGCCTTGCACACGGCCAACCCGGGTTCGATTCCCAGCATCCCATGTGGTCCCCCGAGCACCGCCAGGAGTAATTCCTGAGTGCATGAGCCAGGAGTAACCCCTGAGCATCGCCTGGTGTGACCCCCCCAAAAAAACAAACAAAAAAAACCCTCCATGCAGGGGCCTGGGGTGAGGCAGTGAGTGCAAGCAGGTGCGTGGGGTAGTAGAGGGCATGTGGTCAGGGCAGGCAGGCGGACGCCTGAGCTCTGAGCCGACACGCTCAGTCTGGGATCTTACCTCTGCCCCCCAGAACTGTTCTTGGCCTCAGTTTCCCATCTCTAAGGATGCAGGCCCATTCCTCTCCCACCTCGATGAGTCCAGCAGAACCAAGGGCAGGACCTGCCCGGCCAGAGAGGAGGAAGCACGTGGGGAGCTTTCCGTGTCCTCCAGGCCGGTTCCCGGCGCTGGAGCTGAGGTGCAGGTAGACATGGCCCTGACCCTGACCGGGCGCCGAATCCCTCACTGTGAAGGGGGATCTGCACCCTTGCAGGTCTGCGAGTGCAGCCGCGCTCTCTCAGAACAGCCCCCTCCAGCGCCAGGCCGGCTCAGCCCTCTCGGCACGTGGCATCTTGGGGCTGGAGCGATAGCACAGCGGGGAGGGCGTTTGTCTTGCACGCGGCCGACCCGGGTTCGAGTCCCAGCATCCCATAGGGTCCCCTAAGCACCACCAGGAGTAATTCCTGGGTGCAGAGCCAGGAGGAACCCCTGTGCATTGCCGGGTGTGACCCAAAAAGCAAAAAAAAAAGTGGCGTCTTGACTCTGAAGCACATTAAGTGCTTCTCGATTAAGCTCTCAGAAGTGTCACTTTGGCAGATTATAATTTTTGGGGGGTCACACCCAGCGATGCACAGGGGTTCCTCCTGGCTCTGCTCTCAGGAATTACCCCTGGCGGTACTCAGGAGACCTTATGGGATGCTGGAAATTGAACATGGGTCGGCCACGTGCAAGGCAAACGCCCTACCCGCTGTGCTATTTCTCCAGCCCCAGATTTTAATCTTTAAGTGGTTCCCATGTGCCTGTCCTACAAACGTGGGCGCAATATCTCTTTTTCTGGTCCCCTTTCCTTTATTGTTGCTCTATTCAAGACCCACAAGCCCTACCCACTGGACTGCCCCTCCCGCTCCTTAATGATGTCTTTGCTTCAGAGATTTCCGTTTTCCATAAGGGCTGGCAGCTGTTGACGTTTCCTTTCCCGACAGGTATTTCAGGCAGTCTGAACTTTGACGAGGAGGGGACTGACTCTGCGGAAGAAGAAGGAAAACGGTTCAGATCTCACCCACCCAGTTTGGAGGCTGAGACGCTCTCATCTGGGCCCAGCCGGCTGTCCATCACAGTACGTAGGTCTGGACCGTCTCCAGAGTTGAGTGAGAGCTGCCATCTTAGGGTTCGGTTAGGACCAAGGGAGTTACTTGCCAAACATCCCTTTGGCATTACGTACCATTGCTAACTTAGGTGCTTCGCCAAAAGATTTCAGCTCAGATTTTTTTTTTTTTTGCTTTTTGGGTGACACCCAGCGATGCTCAGGGGTTCCTCCTGGCTCATGCACTCAGGAATCGCTCCTGGAGGTGCTCTGGGGACCATATGGGATTCTGGGAATTGAACCTGGGTCGACCGCGTGCAAGGCAAACGCCGTACCCTCTGTGCTATTGCTCCAGCCCCCTGATTGAGTTTTTGGTCTTTTTTTTTCTTTTTTGGGTCACACTTGGCGATGCACAGGGTTTATTTCTGGCTCTACACTCAGGAACTACTCCTGACGGTGCTCAGGGGACCCTAAGAGATGCTGGGAATCAAACCTGGGTCGGTCGAGTACAAGGCGAACGCCTTACCCGCTGTGCTATCGCTCTAGCCCTGCTTTTTGAAATTTCCCCAAGACTGTTTGCAGAAGTTACTTGCGGCCTCACAATGCCCTCTGACCTCCTGGCCAACGCCAGCCTAGAGGTGGGTGTCCACAGACAGTGGGGGACGCCACCAACACAGTCACAGACACCGTGGCACCAGGAAAGCGGATGTGGGAAGGATAGAGGCACCGGGGCATGGCACAGCGGGGACGGGGACCCTGTGTGTGTCTCCATGACCTCGTCAGCTCTATGCGGTAGACAGGGACAGATGAGATGCCGGCCTTCGCACAACTGGCCCCTGGACAGATGAACAGATGGAACGAGACAAAAACACCACGTTCCCCTCTGGTTCTGGGAGAATACACTAAGAACCAATTTGTCAAGAGAGAAAAAACATGAGTGATAGAGCGGACAGCTCTGTCACTGTCAGGGGGAGACTGTGCTCACGCGCCACCCTCAGACAGGAAGTGCAGCTGGCCTGGGGGACAGTGGGCGTGACCCCAGGACACTCGGGCAGCCGGGGACCATCACCAAACCCAAAGATGTCCCAAGCATTTGCATTTTCAATACCAAGTTTTCCTGCCTGCCAACAATTCAAAGTACCAGAGAGCAAAATTTCAGCCAGAAGACGGTTACAAGAAGATGCTGGGGAAATTCCCTCTATGTTCAGAAGTTAAGGCACCATTCCAGGCAACTCAGAGACTAAAGAATAAGCGGGGGGAGGGGGAGAATGAGGGACTGGAGTGGGGAGGGTGTTTGCCTTGCACGCGGCCAACCCGGGTTCGATTCCCAGCATCCCATAGGGTCCCCCAAGCACCACCAGGAGTGATTCCTGAGTGCATGAGCCAGGAGTAACCCCTGAGCATTGTAAGGCCACAAGTAACTTCTCAGCTTCCTGTGGGTTCCCCCTGCACCCCGGGAGATGCTCACCTCCCCTCAGCCCTGCACACCTACCCATTCGGGACGTCCTGTGTTGATGAGTCCATCACACCGTCCATGTTTTGGGGCCCGGCTGTGTGCACGGCACGGGTGTGCTCGGGTGACGCCAGCGGCAGCTGTCAGCCTTCCCTGGGACAGAGCCGGCGTCCCCATGTCCCTACATAACCACTGTTGGCTTCTCTGCTTGCTGTGCTGGAAACTCGGGGTGCCCCATCCCGTGCATGCAGGGGGCAGATGTCTCCCCGCACGCCCTAGCCTAGAAGATCGGGGCGGGGGGAGGCAGACGTGGGAGCCGCAGGTCAGGGCGTCCTGGGCATGTGGAAGGAAGGAGCTCTGGGCCCGAATGATCCCACATCTGGCAAAGGTGCTCAGGGAGCACAGTTCGCCCAAGACCCTCGCTGCCCCGCCCGTGGGGGTGGCCCCCTGCACTCAGGCCTTCTCGAAGGCGGCAGGCCAGGGCGCAGAAGGCGGGACACGAGCTCCTGGGCAGCTCGGCCCCCACCCCACACTGTTACCACAAGGCAAGTCCTGGGACCCCGAGCACACCCCACCCTGGGCTGGGACTCAGAGATGGGCGCCCTGCCCTGTCCAGGTGCCAGCCCGAGTCGAGGTGCCTTAGATCCTCAAGGCTCTTCAGGAAAACAGCCACTTGTATTTCTATTTCAGTCCCCTTGGGGTTCGGGGACCATCCCCGCGGTGTTCATGCTTTACCCCTGCTCAATCCAGGGTCGCTCTGGGTGCTGTTTGGTCAACCCCCTGCGCTGCTGGGCACGGAAATCGGGGCTGACCACGCTGAGGCAAGCGCGTCCCCGGGTGTATAGGACCTGCCTGGTCTGCCTCAGGCTCTGCTTGGCGCGGGCCTGGGGGCAGCTCAGGCAGAAGGACAGGTCCACTTCTCTCCCTGCAAGGCCTGGAAGGACTCGGGGCACAGCAGGTGCCAGTGTCCCCCCCACCCCAAGCCCCAGCAGAAACCTGCGGGGCGCTGAGGGACCCAGTGCAGGCCCAAGGGACACTCCGCCTTGGCCACTGAGGTCCGCCGTCAGCTCCCCAAGGTGCCCGGGCGTGGCCTGGTCACCACTCCCTTGCCTTCGCTGCTGTCACCCCCCACCCCCCCATGCCCATGCATCATATCCTCCTGGGCCTTCTCCACCCCCGCCTCAGTCTGCCCAGGAAAAATGGGCCAGTGGGGCCAGGCAAGCACTTGGGCTTGTCCCCGGAGGAGCAGCCTGTCAGGTGGCGGCCGTGGCAGTATTTTTTTTCCGTAGAACTTATTAGATTAGAAACTTAGTCAAACAGCCTCGCTACTGCCTCTCTCCAAAGTCACTGTCAACAAGGAGAATTGATGCCTTAGAAATAAAAAGAAACTCCGATGCATTAGTCAGGGTGAGGAAGTGTTTGCACAAAAGGTTTGTTCTCCCAGTAAACAGCCACAATGGGATTGTAATCAAATTTCTTAATTATTTCTATAAAATCTTGGGTACATGAAAATACACAAAGCCCTTTTTTCAAGAAAGTCACTGTTTGCGAGGGCCTTAGATGAGGGAAGAAGGAACTGGAGGAGCCCTCGTTTGACTGGAAGGTTCTAGAAAGGTCCGGAATGTGCTTCCTCTTCCCAGACTGGTAGCACGAGGGGTGCCTGTGCTGGCCAGAGGCTCAGCACTGCTTCTGATGAGACCCCCGGGCAGCCCCTCCAGGGAGATGGGGAACAGGCCTTTGCTCCCAGCTGCTCTGAGCACAGACACACACGGAAGGTTCTGGAATCTCTGCTGGCAGGGGAGGCAGTCGTGGTGTGGGTGTGGGTGCTAGGTGTTGACTGTGTGCAGCGAGATGATGGTCACTCGTTTGGTGCAGAGTCCCACCTTGCACATGTGACCTTCCCAGTGGACAGCAGTGGGGCAGCCCAGGAAGGCTCTGATGCTGGAGAAGTTGAGGCTGGATGAAAGGCGGGCGCTATGGGGGGTCCCAGCGGGAAAGCACAGGAAAGATCTAGATGCTTCATGAAAATCAACATGAGGGTTCCAGCTTCAAAAGGGCTGGAGCGATAGCACAGCGGGTAGGGCGTTTGCCTTGCATGCGGCTGGCCCAGCAACCCGAGTTTGATTCTTTCGCCCCTCTCGGAGAGCCTGGCAAGCTACCGAGAGTATTTCACCTGCACGGCAAAGCCTGGCAAGCTCCCCGTGATGTATTCGATATGCCAAACACAGTAACAACAAGTCTCACAATGTTACTGGGCCCGCTCGAGCAAATCGATGAACAACGGGAGGACAGTGCTACAGTGGACAGTGTTTGCAGAAGGAAGACATAGGGATAAAGCAACCAATGGTCTTGTTGTCGAAGTGTTTCTTAAGAGAGAGTTGGAGGTTTTCTTTTTTGCTTTTCTTTTTTTTTTTTTCTGCTTTTTGGGTCACACCCGGCAATGCACCTGGCAGGGTTCCTCCTGGCTCTGCACTCAGGAGTCACTCCTGGCGGTGCTCAGGGGACCCTATGGGATGCTGGGAATCGAACCCGGGTCGGCTGCGTGCAAGGCAAACGCCCTACCTACCCGCTGTGCTATCTCTCCAGCCCCTCTTTTTTTCTTTTTTTAAAACGGTATCTGTTGATTACATTTTGAGAGTTGACGGTTTTCTGATGTTTGGACGCTGCTGCTTTCAGGACTTGGGCGCTTCCCATTCCGTAGCCCGGCAAATAGCAGCAGAGAAGCTCTTGGGCGATCTGGAGAATTTAGAGGACTTTGCCTACCGCCCCGCCCCTCGGGGCATCACCATGACCTGTCGGATAACCCGAGACAAAAAAGGAATGGATCGGGGTCTCTTCCCCACTTACTTTATGCACCTGGAAAAGAGTAAGAATGAGAAGGTAGGAGACTGAATTCTCAGCACGAATCAGGGACTCCAGGGGAAGATCGTTGGGGGTGTTGGGGTGTGCATATGTGTGGGGGAGGGGGAGGGGGTGCAGGGTGGGGGGTCACTGTCACTGTCCTCCTGTTGTTCATCGATTTGCTCGAGCGGGCCCAGTAGTGTCTTCATCGTGAGACTTTTTGTTACTGTGTCTGGCATATCGGATACGGCACGGGGAGCTTGCCAGGCTTTGCCTGTGGGCTCAGGAGACCATACAGGATGCTGGAGAGCAAAGTCACAACAAGGCAGTCGCCCTCCCTGCTGTACTACCACTCACTGGCTTTATGCATAAGTATGAAGCAGCTTAATTTGAAGAACATACTTTGTGTTATTCCCAGGGTCTCAGTCGATGGTTTTATGAGATTTAAGATATCACTGTACCACTGTCATCCTGTTGTTCATCGATTGCCTCGAGCAGGCCCCAGTAACGTCTCCTTCGTCCTAGCACTGAGATTTTAGAAAGTGCCACATTCGAGGCTCTTTCAGGGTCAGGAGAATGAGACCCATCACTGTTACTGGTTTTTGGCATATTGAATACGCCACATGGGGAATTTGCCAGACTCTGCCGTGTGGGCAGGATACTTTTGGCCAGGTTCTCCAGAGTAAGAACTAGATAATAAGATGTTTATGTTAGAGATTAGATGTACGATGATGATATTAGAACCATGCTTTTATTGAGCATTTTTGACATACCATGGATGTGCTGCTATATATATATATATATATATATATATATATATATATATATAAAATCTTCTGTGCTCCTGGTAGTAGCAGCCTTGTAAAATAGGAGAGAGAGAGAGAGTGTGTGTGTTGGGGAGGTGTGCTTTGGTTTTGGGATCAAACCTGATGATGACGGGCATCAGGGGACCAGGAGGTTCTGGGGATTGAAGCAGAACTTTCTCATGAAAAGTATATGGTGCCATCCGCTGAGTTCTTTCTCCAGCCCTTGAAATAGGGTCTCTCACACCTGACTTAAGCATAGAGTAACTGGGGTTTCGGGAATGACCGACCTGCCCCAAGTTGCGGTTCTAAACTGCAAAGCAAACTCACACTAGATTCCGCCCTGTCTCCCTGCTCCTGCCCTTCCTGCTTGTCCACTAATGTCCACCTCTGGGCAGGGTGAGGAAGCGTGAGTAGCTGGAATTCGTTCATGTGAGCTTACGGGGATGTAAGTGCCACACGCACACGGAGATTAGAAAGCAGTTGCACTTCTGTGAGTGATGGAAGCGTTGGGGATACTTGTCTGTAGAGTTGGACGTATACTCATGGTCCCTCCGAGCACTGCTGAAATTGACCCCCAAACACCTCTGCTTGAACCCCTCACGCAAAAAAAAAAAAATTTCACGTGAATTAAATCTGTTTCAAAAAAAAAAAGAAGACCAGAAGATTGATTGTATACATGATTGGCTCTTACAAATATGTAAATATTTGCTAAGTGAACATGTATGACCCAGCATGGTGGTGTGCTTCATTTTTGACCAGCATTCCTCTCTTTGTCCCAGGTATTTGTTCTAGCAGCTAGAAAGCGTAAGAAGAGTAAGACATCCAACTACCTTATTTCCACCGATCCCATTGACCTATCCCGTGAAGGGTTAAGTTACATTGGCAAACTCAGGTGAGCAGCCTTGGTTTTCTGTCTTCTTTAAAAAGAAAGGGTGGTGGGAGGGAGTGGAGGGGAAGAGGCCGGAGCCATAGCACAGCAGGTAGGGCATTTCCCTTGCATGCGGCCGACCCAGGTTCGATTCCCAGCATCCCAGATGGTCCCCCGAGCACTGCCAGGAATAATTCCTGAGTGCATGAGCCAGGAGAAACCCCTGTGTATCACTGGGTATTTACCCAAAATAATTATAATAAGAGTAAGTAAAAAGTAAAGGCCCTCCCGTTGATCATCGATTTGCTCGAGCGGGCCCAGTAACGTCTCCATTGGAGACTTTGTTGTTACTGTGTCTGGCATATCGAATACTCTCGGTAGCTTGCCGGGCTCTCCGAGAGGGGCGGAGGAATCGATCTCGGGTCGGCCATGTTGGCTGTGTGCAAGGCAGACGCCCTACCCGCTGTGCTATCGCTCCAGCCCTGGAGAGATAGCACAGCGGGTAGGGCATTTGCCTTGCACGTGGCTGACCCAGGTTCGATTCCCAGCATCCCATAGGGTCCCCTGAGCACTGCCAGGAGTAACTGAGTGCAGAGCCAGGAGTAACCCCTGTGCATCGCCAGGTGTGACCCAAAAAAGCAAAAAATTATAATAATAATAAATAATAATAACCCCCCCCTGGGCTGGAACGATAGCACAGTGGTAGGGCGTTTGCCTTACAAGTGACCAACATGGCCGACCCGAGTTCGATTCCTCCACCCCTCTCAGAGAGCCCGGCAAGCTACTGAGAGTATCTCGCCCGCACGGCAGAGCCTGGCAAGCTCCCCGTGACGTACTCGATAGACCAAACACAGTAACAACAAGTCTCACGAAGGAGACGTTACTGGGCCCGCTCGAGCAAATCGATGAACAACGGGAGGACTGTGACCGAATAAAACCCTCAACAAAAATGCAAAATATTAGCATGATGACCGTTTGAGCTGTCTAATGAATGGTCTGGGCTGGAGCGATAGCACATCATGTAGGGCGTTTGCCCTGCACACGGCCGACCCGGGTTTGATCCCTCCGCCCCTCTCAGAGAGCCCAGCAAGCTACCGAGAGTACCCCGCCCGCACGGTGGAGCCTGGCAAGCTCCCTGTGGTGTATTCGATATGCCAAAAACAGTCACAACAAGTCTCACAATGGAGCTGTTACTGGTGCCCGCTCGAGCAAATCGATAAACAACGGGAGGACAGTGCTACATATATATGTGTGTATACATATATAGGGCTTGAGAGATAGTGGAGTGTGTAGGGCCCTTGCCTTATACATGGCCAACGAATCCCTGGTACCACATATGGTTCCTTGTGCCCTGCCAGGAGCAATTCCTGAGGCAAAGCCAGGAGTAAGCCTCGATTCTTTGGCCTATTGGGTGTGACCCAAACCATCTCCCTCCACCTACAAAGAGATCATATGGGGTTTAATGCTTTGGCCTTGCATATACTGTGACCCGTTTTTTTGTTTTGTTTTGTTTTTCTGGGTTTTTTTTTTTTTTTTGCTTTTTGGGTCACACCCAGCGATGCACAGGGGTTCCTCCTGGCTCTGCACTCAGGAGTTACTCCTGGCGGTGCTAAGGGGACCATATGGGATGCTGGGAATCGAACCCGGGTCAGCCGTGTGCAAAGCAAACGCCCTACCCACTGTGCTATCTCTCCAGCCCCCTTTTTTTTAAATTTTATTTTCCCCTTACACTTTATATAAACACGGTGGTTTACAAATTCATGATGATTTGTTACATTCAGTATACCGACACCAATCCCACGACCATTGTACCTTCCCACCACCATTATCTCTAATTTTCCCAACCACCCCTTAAGCCTGCCCCTGAAGCAGGCCCGCAATAATTTATTTTACATTGCTGCTTATAAATAATTTGCTAAAAGAATGAGTTAGGAAATGTTTCCTTAGAAGAAAGTTAGTGAAGCTTGTTGTATCTCACCATGGAGCCATTAAGCCCTCGCATAAGAGATTACTAAGATGTCGTCACAGGTTAAGCCTTCTGAGTTTATATTTTCTTTTTTTTTTTCTTTTCTTTTTTTTTTTTCTTTTTTCTTTTGCTTTTGGGTCACACCTGGTGATGCACAGGGGTTCCTCCTGGCTCGGCACTCAGGAATTACTCCTGGCGGTGCTCAGGGGACCATATGGGATGCTGGGAATCGAACCCGGGTCGGCGGCGTGCAAGGCAATCGCCCTACCCGCTGTGCTATCGCTCCAGCCCCATTGGTTTATATTTTCTGACTCGAGATTGGTTACCTTCTACGTTATACCCCAACCAATCAGATGTGCTACTGGTTTATCATTGTTGTAGAGTTTGAGAAGTTATTCCAGGAAGTCCAATACTTATTTATTTATTTATTTATTTTTTGCTTTTTGGGCACACCCGGCGATGCTCAGGGGTTCCTCCTGGCTCTGCACTCAGGAATGACTCCTGGCAGTGCTCAGGGGACCATATGGGATGCTGGGAATCGAACCCGGGTCTGCCGCATGCGAGGCAAACGCCCTACCCACTGTGCTTTCTCTCCAGCCCCGAAGTCCAATATTTTTAATGGGGTGATACAGCTGGAGTTAACTTTTTTCTTTTTTTTAATTATTATTATTTTTTTCAAGATCTACATGTGAAATTTTAATTTTTTTCTTTTTCCTTTTTTTTTTCTTTTAATTAGTGAAACACCATGAGGTACAGTTTACAAACTTTCGTGCTTGGGTTTCAGTGGAGTTAAAATTTTAACTGGGTCACAACTTTGGGGTGACTATATGATTGCCGCGGCTTCCGGAAATGCAGGGACATGGGGAAGGTAGCCCATCCCCGACTCCGTGGGACCCTGGAGATTTCAGTCCCAAGACTCGCATGCCTGAGTTTTTCAACGTATTAATCTCTGGATGAGGCTCTTCCTGAATGGTGGAGTCTGGCTGGAAGCATGGTGGTGATTGTGGAGTGTGGAGGCTTTTGGCTACCAGGACTCTGTTTGGGCAGGTGGTGGGCTCACCCGTCCCTCTCCGGGGTGCCCTGGATGACTCACCTTACACAGGGTTTGGTAGAATCTCTGCAACTTGCTGGTCTTTTCTTTTCTTTTTTTTTTCTTTATTTTTGGCTTTTTGGGTCACACCCAGGGCAATGCTCAGGGGTTATCCTGGTTCTTCACTCAAGAATTACTCTTGGGGTTACCTGGGGGACCATGTAGGGTCCCGGGGATTGAACCCAGGTCAGCCATGTGCAAGGCAAACGCTCTACCCGCTCTCATATTGCTCCGGCCCCTTGCTGGTCTCTTTTGAGATTTACTTGTGAATCTCTGGATCGTGGCTGGTGATTGAATTTACTTGGCACTGGAGGTGGTTCGTGGTTGTACCTCCCTGGGAGATGGGGGGAAATAACTCATCCCGGACTTTGTGACCCAGTTTACATCTTGGCTCTGGGGTTGGAGCAATAGCACAGCGGGTAGGGCGTTTGCCTTGCACACAGCCAACATGGCCGATACAGGTTCGATTCCCATCATCCCATGTAGTCCCCCGAGCATCGCCAGGAGTAATTCCTGAGTGCAGAGCCAGGAGTAACCCCTGAGCATCGCCGGGTGTGACCCAAAAAGGAAAAAAAAAACAAACAAACAACTAGGAGACTTGGGGGTGGGCTCGGCACACTCTTCATTGCATAGGGACTATTCCTGTCTCTGTGCTCAGCAGTGACCCTTGGTGGTGCTCTGGGTACCACATGCAGAGCCAGGTTAGTTGTTTTTTTTTTTTCTTTTTTTTCTTTTTGGGTCACACCAAGCGATGCACAGGGGTTACTCCTGGCTCATGCACTCAGGAATTACTCCTGGCGTTGCTCGGGGGACCATACGGGGTGCTGGGAATCGAACCTGTGTTGGCCATGTTGGCTGTGTGCAAGCAAACACCCTACCCACTGTGCTATCGTTCCAGCCCCTCCTAGTGGTTTTTTTAAATTTCTGAATGGATTGAGCCACTCGTGGCAGAGCTACGGTAGCTGCCAGGGAAGCCAACCCTCGCTTGGACCAATGATCTCTGAGGAGTTGACGAGCTGTTGGGCATCAGTTTGGCGACAGGCCAGGCCTGTGGGCATCCTTCTGGGCCTGCTCCTCCGAGGCTGCTTCTGCTGGGGAGAACCCAGGAACCAGCCTGACGACGCTTTCTCCTGCTTCCAGATCCAACCTCATGGGGACCAAGTTCACCATTTACGACCACGGCGTCAACCCCAACAAGTCCAGCGGCCGGGTAGAAAAGTGCTACATGAGGCAGGAGCTGGCGGCCATCAGTTACGTAAGTGTCCAGCAGCCGCGTCCTGAGGCCATCCTGGATGCGTCATGCCTGCGGGAGCCTATGCTCAGCTGGCGGGGGGTGTCACTTCCCACCCCGGTTGCCTCCTAGTTGCGGGCTTTCCTCCTTTCTGTAACTGACATTTTCTCAAAGTAACCAGCTTTTTTTTTTTTTTTTTTTTTTTTGCTTTTTGGGTCACACCCGGCAATGCACAGGGGTCACTCCTGGCTCTGCACTCAGGAATTACTCCTTGTGGTGTTCGGGGGACCATATGGGATGCTGGGAATCAAACCCATCTTCCCTTCCACTGCCAGCCTGACCTCTTTTTTTCCTTTTTTTTTTGAAATTCAATTTTTTTTTTCTTTTTGAGTCACACCGGTGATGCTCAGGGGTTACTCCTGGCTCATGCACTCAGGAATCGCTCCTTCTGGTTCTCGGGGGACCACATGGGATGCTGGGAATCGAACCTGTGTTGGCCATGTTGGCTGCGTGCAAGGCAAACGCCTTACCCGCTGTGCTATCACTCCAGCCCCCTCAATTTTATTTTTATAGAGTTGTTTACAATAGTTCATTACAGAGAACATTCAAACACCAATCGCACCACCTACCACCTTCCCGCCACCATAAGAGGGAAGTGTGTGAAGGTTGTTGTATTTTATCCTGGAGCCATGTAACCCCTTGTATAAAAGATTAAAAACGGGGCTGGAGTGATAGCACAGCGGGTAAGGCGTTAGCTTTGCACGCGGCCAACCCGGGTTCGATTCCCAGCACCCCATATGGTCCCTCGAGCACTGCTAGGAGTGATTCATGAGTGCAGAGCCAGGAGTTACCTCTGAGCATCGCTGAGTGTGACCCAAAAAGGAAAAAAAAAATATATATATATATATATATATATTAAACCCAAACAGATGTGTGCCACTTTTGGTACATCTGGGGGGCTAGAGTAAAAGAGGTCGCATGGCCGCATCTGCTGCGCATTCCAGGACATCCGTGTCGCTCTCTCCGGGCGCTTTATTTCATAGTCTCTGGATCTTGGCCGTTGATGAGATGACATGGCGCTGGGGGCAGTTTGTGGGTGTGACTGCCAAGCTACTGGAAAACTGGGGAGCTGGGGGAGGAGGTCCAGCCCCGTTCCAAGCGAGCTTGGAGATCTCAGTCACGGGTCCTGCATACCTGGGTTTTCCTGCCGGTTCCCCCATAGGTGGGGCTCATCCGAGTGTGTGGAGGGCGGCCTTGAGCATCAGCCTGACCTCTTGACGGTTACATTTGGACCCCCTCGCTCACAGTAGTGTTGGATCTGGTGGGTTAGCCCTCACCTAGATGTAGACTGCAAGGCTGCATGGTAGAAGTTCCGCAGGGCCCCGGGGCCCTGCTACGCCGTTGAAACTCTTCTTTGTGTGGGGAGGGCAGTCCTACCCGGTTGTGCTCAGGGCTTGCTTCCGACCCAGAGCTCAGGGCTCACTCCTGGCTTTGTGCTCTAGGGTCCGTGTGGGATGCTGGAGATTGAACCTGGGCTGGTTGTGGGCAACGCAAGCGCCTTACCTGCAGTGCCACCTCTATGGCCATATAATGAACTTGTATTAGTTCTGAATGATTGCCGACCCGAGTTCAATTCCTCCGCCCCTCTCGGAGAGCCCGGCAAACTACCGAGAGTATCTCGCCCGCACGGCAGAGCCTGGCAAGCTCCCCGTGACGTATTCGATATGCCAAACACAGTAACAACAAAGTCTCCAATGGAGACGTTACTGGGCCCACTCGAGCAAATCGATGAACAACAGGAGGACCGTGACCATGACCGATCAAATTCAGTTCTACTTCTTGTTGTTGTTGTTGTTGTCGTTGTTTTGTTTGGCAGGGCTCACCCAGTGGTGCTCAGGGCTTCTTCTGGCTCTGCACTCAAGGATCATTCCTGGCAGTGTTCAGGGACCCTGTGGTTGCCAGGGATCAAACTAAGGTCAACTGAGTGCAGGGAAAGGGCCCTACCCACTATATTGTCACTCTGGCTCTCAAATCTGATTTTTTTTTCTTTTTGGGTCACACCCGGTGATGCACAGGGGTTCCTCCTGGCTCATGCACTCAGGAACCACTCCTGGCGGTGCTCAGGGGACCCTATGGGATGCTGGGAATCGAACCCGGTTTGGCCGCATGCAGGGCCAACGCCCTACCCGCTGTGCTGTCACTCCGGCCCCTCAAATCTGAGTTTGACAAAGTGATTTTGGCCTTCTTTTCTCTTCCTTTCCCTAATGCCCTTGTATGAACTTGGCCTTCATCCTTCTGGTCCCTGGCACCAGATCCCTTTGCTTTTTTTTCTCTCCTCGCTCAGCACACATCTTCCATCCTGAACTATCCCTCCAACCATCAGTGACTTAGTGGTCCCTTCTCTATCCCAGCTGCCTTCTCCTCCAGCTCATGAGGCAGGCTTCCAACCATGGAGCAATCTTCCTGGCCCTTGTGTCTACTGTCCTTGGGTGTCAGTCTCGTATTATGTGATTTATATTCCACAAATGAGTGCAGTCATTCTATGTCAGGTGAAATTTTCAATATAATCAGTATTCAGAGTGGGTTTTTAAAAGTACTGTGGTACTTTTCTACTCTGTTTCTTTGTCATGTTTGAAGTTTTGGGCCATGCCCAGTGGTGATTGGGGGCTCCCCTGGCAGTGCTCGGCTGGCCTTGCGGTAGTGGGAATTAGCCTGGGCTCACTCATGGCAAGCCTGCACGCAGCCTGCAGAGCTGCCCGGCTGGCAGCATTCGTTCTCTTTGGAAAAATAGCTGCATGCTCCTAATTTACATGACCAGGCAGGTCTTAACGTTAAGAAAGTAGTCTTTTAGTTTTCCCTTTTGTTTCAAAGTTCTGCCTTGTTTTTCTGTCTAGGAAACCAATGTGCTTGGATTTAAAGGTCCTAGAAAAATGTCTGTGATCATTCCAGGACTGACGATGAATCATGAGCGAATCCCAGTTCAGCCACGAAATGTAAGTAAGAACACAGCAAAGGACCAGATACAGAGGGATCGATACTTCCCCCTACCCCCGAAAAAAAAAGTGTGTGTGTGTGTGTGTGTGTGTGTGTGTGTTGTTTGTGTGTACACTTTAAAAATTGTGTAGGATCCAGAGCCATAGTGTAGCAGATAGGGCATTTGTCTTGAACAAGGCCGACCCCTGTTCGATTTCTAGCATCCCATGTGATGCCCTGAGCCCACCAGGAGTAATTCCTGAATGCAGAGCCAGGAGTAACCCCTGAGCACCCCTGGGTGTGGCTCTCCAAAAAATTAATCATAATTATGATAATGCGTTGAGATTTCTGATCCCGGTAGGCAATTACCTCGCTCCACCTAATACTTCTGTGTTTTGTTGTTGTTTGGGGGCAGGGGGCCAGGTGCCAGGGATCATACCTAGGCTCCAGCATGAAAAACACGTGGATTGACCATTGGCTGACCTCTCTGACCCTAACCAATGAAGGATGTGTTGGTCCATCCGGCGCAAGGCTGCAGCTTCTCCCAGGACAGCTCTCCTAGTAGTTTTTTGTTTTTGTCTTTTTTCTTTTTGGGTCACACCCGGCGATGCTCAGGGGTTACTCCTGGCTCATACACTCAGGAATTACTCCTGGCGGTGCTTCGCGGAACCACATGGGATGCTGGGAATCGAACCGGGGTCGGCCTCATGCAAGGCAAACACCCTGTCTGCTGTGCTATCACTCCAGCCCCAGTCCTAGCAGTTTTGAAAGTGGTCATGTTGCAATCACTGAAGTCTGTAAAGAGAAATCCCCTTAGACTACGATTACAGAGAAAACAAAAGCCAGCCCGGCCAAATGAATCAAAACTGGAAAGCAAGCCCGCTTTCCAGCTTTGGTTCATTTGGCCAGTTCTGAAAGGAAGAGAATGTCCCCCCTCCTCCCCCCGCCGTGTTCCTTAGAGGGTGGGGGGAAGGGATCCCTTCTGGTGCCCGGCACTGGACCGCGCTGCCCCCTCACACAGGACCACGAGAGCCTGCTGTCCAAGTGGCGGAATAAGGCCATGGACAACCTGATCGAGCTGCACAACAAGGCCCCGGTGTGGAACAACGACACACAGTCCTACGTGCTCAATTTCCGCGGCCGGGTGACGCAGGCATCCGTGAAGAACTTCCAGATCGTCCATGAAAATGAGCGTGAGTCCACTGGCAGGGGCGGACTTTTTTTTTTTTTTGTGGGTCTCACCTGGCGGTGCTCAGGATTTATTTCTGGCTCATGCACTCAGGTATTAGTCCTGGCAGTGTTTGGGGGACCCTATGGGATGCTGGGAATCGAATCCGGGTCGGCCGCATGCAAGGCAAATGCCCTCCCCGCTGTGCTGTTGCTCCAGCCCCCTCAAGACAGGGGCAGACGGGAATGGACAAAAAGGCGCACAGACCACACTGGGTGGGGGTGGGGGCTGGGCAGATCCAGTCCCTAGCACTGACCGAGGCCTTCAGGAGAGGAATTTTGGAGAAACGTGTCCTTTCTCGGAAAGACCGAGGCGACTGTTGTGCATCTGACCCCTTGTGCCAAGAGTGGGAGAGATTCTGATGAGCCCACGTGGGATCTCCAGCAGATGCAGATGTCCTTGCTGTGTGCAGAAGGCCAAGGCTCCTGGCCCCTACCCAGCCGGCCGCTCTGGACTCGCTTCTGTCCATTTTTTTCTTCTTTTTTTGCTTTTTGGGTCACACCCGGTGATACACAGGGGTTCCTCCTGGCTCTGCACTGGGTCTCACCTGGCGGCGCTCAGGATTTATTCCTGGCACATGCACTCAGGTATTACTCCTGGCGGTGCTCGGGGGACCCTATGGGATGCCGGGGATCGAACCCGGGTCAGCTGTGTGCAAGGCAAACGCCCTCCCTGCTGTGCTATTGCTCCGGCCACTGGGCTTTCTGTCCTTTGAGCCCCTCCCCCGCAGTCAGGAAGGGTCTCCCGCTCACCTCAAGCAGAGGAACAGCCCGGGAGCATCCTTCCCGGGGAGCCGACTTGCACCCCTGTGTCAGAGAGGCCGGCCAGTCGGTCGGAGGGTCTAGCGCGAGTCTGTTTCTGTGTCTTCAACGGGCTCCTCGGAGTCCGACGCCAGCGGCTCTCACAGCCTCTCTGTTTCCATCCCCAGCTTCCTACATCGTCATGCAGTTCGGGCGCGTGGCGGAAGATGAGTTCACCCTGGACTACAACTACCCACTCTGTGCTCTCCAGGCCTTTGCCATCGGCCTGTCCAGCTTCGACAGCAAGCTGGCCTGCGAATGAGGGTCCAGGCAGCCGCCGGGCAGGGCTCGCTCCCCAGCAGGCCATCCTCCACACAGAGCGCGCCCCCCTCCCCAGATGACCCCCCTTCACCCACGGAAGGCTGACAGTCGCCCCTGGAACTCAGGCATGGTCCCTGAGTGCACCAAGTCTATGTGTACACACGCCTCTGAGACCGGGCAACACCCGCGGCACCTCACACAGAGACCTGTGTACACGCATTGCCACGGGTCTCAGGCGTGGCAGTCCAGGTCGGTCAGGGACCCCCTTGCACCAGGGGAGACCCTCAAAGGCACCCAGGGCAGGTCTCTGCTCAGAAGCCCCCGGGTGATTTTGGAAGTTCTCGCCCAACACATTTTGTGCCTTAAGAGTTTGATTTCCTGGGGCTGGAGCGATAGTATAGCGGGTAGGGTGTTTGCCTTGCACGCGGCCGACCTGGGTTCGATTCCCAGCATCCCACATGGTCCCCCAAGCACCGCCAGGAGTAATTCCTGAGTGTATGAGCCAGGAGTAACCCTTGTACATGGCCAGGTGTGACCCAAAAAGCCCCCCCCCAAAAAAAATTTGATTTCCTGGGGCTGGAGAGAGAACACGGCACATAGGGTGCTTGCCTTGCATGCAGCCAACCCATGTTCAATCCCCAGCATCCCCTGGTGTTCCCCAGGCCCCACCAGGAGTGACCCCTGAGCACAGGGCCAAGAGACAGCCCTGAGCAAACCCAGGGCTTCTAAGCATTGGAAAAAGTCGTTTCTGAAGTTTGATTCCCGACGCTCGGAAACAGGAAGTTAGAATCAGGTTCTAATGATTAACTACTCTAGTTTTGAGGATTCTTAGAAGATGTTTTTTCGCATTCTTTTTAAAATTTTAAATCTCTTAATTTTTTTTTTAAGTCTCACCGGGAGATACACAGTTACAAAGTTGTTCGTGTTTGGGTTTCGGGCCTTCAATGTCCCAGCACCCATTGGTGGCTTCCCGCCACCGATATCCTCAGTTTCCCTCCCGCCACCATTTTTTTGAGATTTTAAGAGAGAGAGATAGTTCCCTGAGTCCCCTCCACCCTCTTGGCCGGTGGTCATGGGACCCCAGAAGTGGAAGGTAGACAGCACCAGTTCCAAGGCAGGGACCCAGAGAATCCACTTTTTTTTGTTATTCTGTTTGTTTGGGTTTGGTGTGGTTTTGCCCTTTTTTTTTGGTGTTTTGGCAAAACCTGAGGTCAGTGGCCATTTTGGTGGGTCATCATGAAGGAAAATGATGACATTCGCCCCTCCTGATGTCGTGGAGGGGGAACCGTCCCCACTCAGGAGCTCACGGTCACCGGGAAGCAAACCTAGACTCGCGTGCGTTTGCTTTGGCTTGGTGAGTCAGAGGCAGCACGGGGTGACCACCCGCCTTCCTGGCAGGCTGGGGGGAGCCCTGATGCCGCAGTGCCCGCCGCTCCTTCCTGCCCAGAGCAGGACTTTTGGAAGTGGCCAACTCGGGGGCTACTCCTGGCTCAGAGCTGGTCCCCGCCTTCAGGGGGCTCTGGGCAGGTTTATAATCCGCCCAATAAGAACATCATCCTGGGGCTGGAGCCATAGCACAGCGGGTAGGGCGTTTGCCTTGCACGCAGCTGATCTGGGTTCGATTCCCAGCATCCATAGGGTCCCCCGAGCACCACCAGGAATAATTCCTGAGTGCAGAGCCAGGAGGAACCCCTCTGCATCTTTTTTTGGGTGTGACCCAAAAAGCAAAAAAAAAAAAATAGAAAAGAGAACATAAGAACATTGTCCTAATGTCACACTGCACGCACCGGCCACCCCGCAGACTGTCTGATTAAGCCCTGGAATCACTTGACTTCTGCCTTTATTCCTGACTACAGGGGGTGCCGCCCCCCCCCCCACAGTGTCACAGTATTACAGTGGCGTCAGTGTTCAGGGACATGCGGGAGGTGAGATGTGTCGGTGTCCTGCTCGAAGGGACGGCAGGAGAGGCTTGGCCGAGGACTGGCTCGCGGGAGGGGGCTCCTTCCGGTTCAGCCTTGCTTCCTTTCTGTCTCCTTGATCAGTGCATGGGGGACCCCGCCCCCATGATCCCCACAAACGGCTCTCAGGCTCAGGGACCTTGGGGGTCCTGCAGGCAAAAGAGGGGCCGAGGGCAGAGGTACAGCGTCCACCTGGGCCTGGTTCCAACGCCCTCCCCAGCAGAAAGTGGGTGGTCAGCTGAGCCCCCCCACAAACACCCCCCTACACACACATACATATTCTGGTCGCAGAAGCCCCCCATGGCCGCAGCCAAAGCCGTGAGCGGCTTTCATCAAGACCACTGGCCTTCGCTGCCAGTGGGTCCTCAGCGGTCATCACAGGACCTCTGGTCTCCATGTCCAGCCTCGGTGCTGGGGACCGAGTGTCAAGTCCATGCAGGACAGGATGCAGGGAGAGCAAGTCATCACTTCCCTCCTTCCTGTTTTCGTGACCGGGCTCTGGACTGGTCGCACCATGAGGCAGAGTGAGCTGGGGAGACACCAGGACCCTCTGCCGCTCCCTGCTCCTGTTCTGAGGGGCTTGGCTTCCGCCCCACCCAAGGCTGTCCACCAAGTGCCTCATTCACCAAGTGCCCACAGCCCCGTCCAGTGGACTGGCCGAGAAGCCGCCTCCTTGGAGCAGAAACTTCCTTCTTCCTAAGTCTGGTAGATGGTAGTTGGAGGGGAACCCCCCCCCCGCCCCCCGCACCGAGGTACACAGAGGGACTCCCGCTCCCGCGGCCTCTGGGACCGCACGGATTCCAGCTGTGTGAACTCTGGCTGTGTGTGCAAGAGACTGGGTTTGACGTATTCGACATATTTATACCTTTTGTATGCTTTTAGAAATAAAAGATAATTTATATGAAGTCCACGAGTGTCACTTATTTTTTTCTTGACAACATCCCACCCCTCCCAGAGTCCCTGCTTTGTTCATCCTGATAGTCGCTATTGCTGAAAGCAGTGGAGTACTTGGTTCTCTGATGCTAAGTCTTCACGTGGAAGTTATTAGCTTGGGGGTGGTGTTTGATTGCTATTCCGGTTCTATGCTCAGGTGGCCTGTGGTATCAGGGACCATTCGCCACTCACTGAGCCAGGACGGCTCCATAGCGCCACCTCCTGGACGCCCTCTATAAGCGCATCAAAGATCCCGATCAAGATCATCCTGTTCGTCGATTTCCTCGAACGGGCACCAGTAACGTCTCCTAGCTAGCCCTGAGATTTTAAAAGAGCCATTTCAATGCTCTTTCAGGATTAGGAGAATAAGACCCATCATTGTTACTGGTATTTGGCATATTGAGTACGACACGGGAAGTTTGCCAGACTCTGCCGTGCGGGCAGGATACTTTTGGTAGCCTGCCAGGTTCTCCAAAGGAGATACCCAAAGGAAAAAGAGGCACCACAGCCTCTTTATGTACTTCACCAACTAGTGCTGGCGCCTGACCATCCATCCCCCGGGGAGGAGGGGGCGGAGGGGTGGGAGGACAGTTATGCTTCGGTGTCCTTCGATTCACCCTGCAGACTCAGCTCCACAGAATTAAAAGGCTAGAGGGGTGCAGGCTGACTTGGGACTGTCCTGGCTTATCGGTCGTTGCCGTTTTGTTCCGTCCAGTGGTTCTCAAGTCTTAGAAGTCTTTTTTTTTTCCTTTTTGGGTCACACCCGGCAATGCACAGGGGTTACTCCTGGCTCTTCACTCAAGAATTACTCCTGGCACTGCTTGACTTGATCACTTGATCACTTGACATCCTGTTACTCAGAGATTTGCTCGAGTGGGCACCAGTAACATCTCCATTCGTCCCTGTCGCGTGCTAGTGTAGCCCAATGGCATCTGCTCGCTCCAGGAACATGAAGTCTCAAACCTATCATTCAGGGTCTTGACGACGAATTCTGACCATCTGGTAGGTGGGCAGCCACGTGGTCTTTTGACGTCCCGTGGAATCCAGTCGGTAATGGCTCTAGTCCAGTGGTCGTCTCCAAATCACATTACGTGTCCAGGCCATCTAATTTTCGATGTCTTGGCAAACGAGACAGCGTCCCTGATTCTCGATCATCGACGGAGTTCGGAACTCCGGATTCTTTCTCTCACTTGAGTGAAGTGTGATACTCCAAGCATAGCTCTTTCGATTCCTCTTTGGGAGACCCAAGTAGCATTTTCTCATCCTGTTTTCATAGGGCCCAGGTCTCTGAGGCGTATGTTAATGCAGGAGAAACAGTGGAATCAAAGAGATGTGCCCGGAGCCAGAGGTTCTTCATCCTCTTAGCTATTTCTTCCACGCTCTTGAAGGCATTCCATGATGCTCTCTTCCTCCTGCACAACTCAGTTGCCAGGTCATTTGTCATGTTGAGTTCTTGACCTAGATCTCAATGCATCTCTGCTGCATTCAGAGATGTTCATTCCGTTGAGAGTGAATGGAACGTCAGGAACTAAGGGGACCATATGGGATGCTGGGAATTGAACCCGGGTTAGCCCTGTGCAAGGCAGACGCCCTACCTGCTGTGCTATCGCTCCAGCCCCAAGCCTTAGAATTTTGGCTCGGAGGAGGGAGACGGCTTCCAAGCTGCCAGAGGTTTGTGTTCACAGCTCAGCAGCCTTTCTGGGGCCAGCAGCGCTTGGGGTACCAGGCCCACACCCAGACTCGCTGCAAGGGGGCAAGGTGGTAAGAAGTGGGGAACAGGGGGCGGGGAACTGACCACCGGGTGCTCTGCCTGACCTTAGCCTTGGAGTTTTCTCTCCTGGTTAAGTGTTCTACGCAGGGGCTGCAGTAGGGCCCTCCCCTTGCACACGGCCAACCCAGGTTCCATTCGTGGCACTCCCTAGGGTCCCCGGAGCACCACCAGGAGTGATTCCTGAGTGCAGGAGGAACCCCTGAGCATCTCCAGGTATGGCTCAAAAGCAAAACCAAGTCTTCTAGAGAGATGCGGTTCCTGGTGGTCGCCAGGTATGCAGGGAGCATATGCCTGTCGTTCTCTCTCTCCATCTGGGAGCTGGCGGGCTAGGAAGGAAGCATGGTCTGGAGGAGAAAGGATGGAAGAAGGCAGAGGAGGGTGAGAAATTAGATTGAGACTTTCAAAGTTGAGTCTAGAGCTGGAGCGATAGCACAGCAGGTAGGGGCATTTGCCTTGCACGTGGCCGACCTGGGTTCGATCCCCAGCATGCCATATGATCCCCTGAGCACTGCCAAGAGTGATTCCTGAGTGCAGAGTGTCAGGTGTGACCCAAAAAGCAAGAAAAAAGAAAAAAAGTATAATCGTGTGTGTGTGTGTGTTTGTGTGTGTGTTTTGGGGTCACACCCTGATTAGTCCCCAGAGCTGTTCTTAGCTCTGAGTTCTGGTACTGCCCCTGGCAGTGCTCAGGGGACCATTTGGTGCAGAGCCTCCCACATACAACATATGTGCCCTTGTTCTCTCTGCAACAACCCCAAATCTATATATATTTTAATTTATCTATATTTATATATGTATCTATATACATTTATGTATAATTTTTTACATGTATAAAGTTTAATAAACTCCACATCTATAGAATGTATCACTTGATCACTTGATACCCCGTTACTCATCGATTTACTCGAGCGGGTGCCAGTAACGTCTCCATTCATCCCTGTTGCGTGCTAGCGTAGCCCAATGGCATCTGCTCATTCTAGAAACATGCAGAGCCTCAAACCGATCATTCAGAGTCTCAACGAAGAAGTCTGACCATCTTGTAGGTGGGCGTCCACGCAATCTTTTGACGTCCCATGAAATCCAGTCAGTAATGGCTCTAGTCCAGTGGTCGTCTCTAAACCTCATTAAGTGTCCAGCCCATCTGATTTTTGATGCCTTAGCAAATGAGACAGTCTCCCTGATTCTTGAGCGTTGACGGAGATCGGAACTCCGAATTCTATCTCTCGTTTGAGTGAAGCATGATACTCCAAGCATAGCTCTTTGGATTCCTCTTTGAGAGACCTGAATAGCGTTCTCATCCTGTTTTCGTAGGGTCCAGGTCTCTGAGGCATATGTTAATGCAGGAAGAACAGTGGAATCGAGGAGAAGTGCTCGGAGCTGGAGGTTCTTTGTCCTCTTAGTTATTTCTTCAACGCTCTTGAAGGCATTCCAAGCCACTCTCTTCCTCCTGCGTAACTCAGGTGCCAGGTCATTCATCATGTTGATTTCTCGACCTAGGGTTATATAACTGTTGCATTCGGAGATGGTGGTTCCATTGAGAGTGAATGGAACATCAGGAACAAGGCTGTTTCTCATAAACATTGTCTTCGTAAGATTCAGCTGTAGTCCGACCTTTCCACACTCAGGGTCAAAGTCGGCCAGCATTTGTGCCGCTTGGCTGATGTTAGGTGTTATTAGAATGATGTCATCAGCAAAGTGGAGGTGGTGTAGTTGCTGACCATCTATCTTCACTTCCATTCCTTCCCATTCCAATCGTTGCATGATGTTCTCGAGAATGTATAGAAACTAAAAAAAGATTGTACTCTATTCCACACATACATAGAATTTTTTACAACATTTTTGTTTTACTTTTTTGGGTGTGTGTGTGTGTGTGTGTGTGTGTGTGTGTGTGTGTGTGTGTGCTACTGGGAATCTATGAGAACTATTTCTGCCTTATTTGCTAGTGTACTCACACAAAAAATTGTGATCACACAATAAGATTTTAAGTTAGGAAATGATGGAAAAATAGAAAAAGATTTAGGATGTTAAAAAATTAAGAGATTTTGGTTTCTTGGTTAAAAGTGATAATTTTGGGATTGGAGCGATAGAATAGCGGGTAGAGCATTTGCCTTGCACACAGCTGACCCAGGTTCAATTCCCAGCATCCCATATGGTCCCCCGAGCACCGCCAGGAGTAATTTCTGAGTGCATGAGCCAGGAATAAACCCTATGCATCGCCGGGTGTGACCCAAAAAGAAAAAAAAAAAGTACTTCCCAGAGCAACTCCCAAACAATTCCCAATCACCAAACTGACCTGGGTGTGCGCCTGAGCTCTGCCGAAGAAGGATGGAAGAAGGCAGAGGAAGGTGAGAAATTTGATTGAGATTTTAAAAGCTGAGTAATAGCTGGAGCAATAGCACAGCAGGGAGGGTGTTTGCCTTGCACAAGGCTGACCTGGGTTCAATTCCCGGCATCCCATATGATCCCCTGTGCACTGCCAGCAGTAATTCCTGAGTGCAAAGCCAGGAGGAGAGGAACCCCTGTGCATCGCCGGGTGTGACCTGAAAAGCAAAAACAAACAAACAAACAGAGGCCAGGAGGCCTGGGTCCTAGTAGGAAGCTTGCCACAATGGGGGGAGGGTTGTTGGGAGAGAGAAGGGACCACTATGACAGGGAT